CCACGCAGTGCTGCAACGGGGCCACGAAACAAAGCGAAGAGGCCACGAAGGGCTGCAACGGGGCCACGAAACAAAGCGAAGAGGCCACGAAGGGCTGCAACGGGGCCACGAAGGGCTGCAAAGGGGCCACGAAGGGCTGCAACGGGGCCACGAATGGCAGCGAGGGGGTCACGAAGGGCAGCGAAGGGGCCACGAAGGGCTGCAACGGGGCCACGAAGGGCAGCCCGATTCCTAAATAATCTGTGAGGGAGTCCTAAGCGTGAGCGCGACTCCTGTGTGCCTGAATGTCGGGAGCGCGGCGATTGCGTAAATTACGGAAAATTCCAACGCAAGGGCGCTGTTCTTGAATACATTGCCAGCAAGCCTCCAGCGAGCGCGACCCTAGAGCGCCGAGAGAGCGATTCCTGAATCAATTGCGAGGAGGTCCCAAGCGAGAGTGCGATTCGCAATCAATTGCAAGGAAGTCTCGGGCGGGAGCGGGGGTCCTGGAGGGTCTTGAATAAATTTGAAGGAACTCTCAGGCGGGAGCCGTTGTTGTTGTAGTCCGGGGGGCCAGGGGCGCAGTTTGAGCATGAAGACTTTCCATGCCAAAAAACAGGGTGCGAGCGTCGAGGGGCACACTGTTACCGAGAAAACATAGAGTGTTCGCTATTTTCTGCTCGCGCGTACCCCACCACGTATATCCCAAATCCCCGACACCCGCCCTCTTCGTCTTCGATCGTGCCCCCTCTGGGGGATACCTGACCTGCCACGTGTAGTTTGCGCAGCCCCTAAAAGAGCAAGGGGAGTGAGAAAGGAGAAAGGAGAGAGAGAGAGAGAGAGAGAGAGAGGACAGAAAGAGACAGGGAGACACAGAGAGAGAGAGAGAGAGCGGGGAGGAACGGAGTGGGGGAAGGGAGGGAGGCAAGGTTCAAGAGGGAGAAAGCAGAACTGCGGACGAGAGAAGCAGCAATGGGGCCACTGAAGGGCAGCAGCGGGGCCACGAAGGGCAGCAATGGGGCCACTGAGGGCACGAGCGAGCGGGGGCCACAATGGGCGTATGCATGGACAAGAAGGGCAGCAACGGGGCCACGAAGGGCAGCGATGCGGGCCACTGAGGGCAGCAGCGGGGTCACGAAGGGCAGCAATGTGGCCACTGAGGGCATTGATGGGGCCGCAGAAGGCAACAACGGTGCCACGAGGGGCCACGCTGGGGCCACGAAGGGCGGCAACGGGGCCACTGAGGGCGCGAGCGACGCGGGGGCACGAAGGGCAGCATCTGGGCCACTGAGGGCTGCAGCGGGGGCTACAATGGGCAGTGGTGGAGGGGGGGGCACAAGGAGCTACGCTGGGGCCACGAAGGGCAGCAATGGGGCCACCGAGGCACGACCGACTGGGGGGCCACGAAGGGCGAACACATGGGCCACAACGGGCAACGAGGGGGCCACATTGGGCAGCGGGGGGGGGGCACGCGGGGCTACACTGGGGTCACGAAGGGCAACCAGGGGGCCACTGAGGGCACGAGCGACTGGGGGCCACGACGGGCGTATATGTGGGCCACGTTGGGCAGCGGGGGGGCACTGAAGGCAGCAGCGAGGCCACAAAGGGCAGCAATGAGGCCACTGAGGGCACAAGCGACTGGGGGCCACGAAAGGCGAATAGATGGGCCACACAGGGCCTACGCCAGGGCAACGAAGGTCAGCAATGGGGCCGCTGAGGGCACGAGCGACTGGGGGCCACGAAGGGCGAATATATAGGCCACAAAGGGCAACGAGGGGGTCACCGAGGGCAGCGGGGGGGAGGCACACGGGGCTACACTGGGGCCACGAAGGGCAGCGATGGGGCCACTGAGGGCGCGAGCGACGGGGGGCCACGAAGGGCAGCATGTGGGCCACTGATGGCAGCAGCGGGGCCACAATGGGCAGCGGGGGGTGGGGGGCACAAGGAGCTACGCTGGGGCCACGAAGGGCAGCAATGGGGCCACTGAGGGCAGCAGCGGGGCCACGAAGGGCAGCAATGGGACCACTGAGGGCACGACCGACTGGGGGGCCACGAAGGGCGTATATATGGGCCACGAAGGGCAGCGAAGGGGCCACTGAGGGCAACATCGGGGCCACGAAGGGCAGCGACTGGGCCACAAGGGGAGGGACCACGAAGGGCAGCAATGAGGCACAAAGGGCGCGAGCGAGCATGGGGCACGAAGGGCATGACCCTAACGGGCGGGCCGAGCGGGCGGATCGACCGTGAGTTCTGCGTGATGAGCCAGGAAGTTTCCAGCGAGAGAGCGATTCCTAGGTAAATTTGGGGACGTCACCAGCGAACTCGCGATTCCTGAATGGCAAGAGCGCGGCGCCTAAGTAAATTGCAAAGAAGTCTCAGGCGGGAGCGCGAGTCTTAAGTCAATTGCGAAGAAGTCTCAAGCGGGAGCGGGGGACTGGAGTAAATTACGAGGAAGTATTACGTAAGCGGGAGTCGGCTGCACGTAAGAGTGACCCTGGGCAAGAGTGACCTTTGGTGCGCGGCTATTTGGGGGGCGCGAGGAGGCCAAACACAAGCGCGCAAGACGCTACTATCGCACCGAGCGCGGCGATCGGAAGACCCCAGTGAGCGCGCACCAGAGGTCACTCCGGCGAAGGGTCACTCTTACGTGTAGTCGAGGGAGCCGTTGTTGTAAACCGGGGGCCAGGGGCCTAATTTGAGGAGAAAGACTTTCCCTTATTAGAAACAAGGTGCGAGCGCCGGGAGGGGCACTTCAATTGAACAATACAAGGTGCACGGGAGTGGGCGATTCAGTAGTGAGAGGTCAACAACAACAGCAAACCTTCCCGTCGCAGAGGCGGCCACGGCCGGATCTCCTCCCCGAGGTCCCGGCGCGGGCCGCCGTGCTGGCGCGAGGCCGGGGGCCCCGTGCAGCTGCTTGAAAGTCCACCCAGATCGAAGCGACGCCGATCCCGCCCCTGCTCCCCCGAGAGGGGGGCGATTTATGTTGGAGGGACATCTGTGCGTATGTCGCCGCGCCGCGTGTCCTCGATGCGCCTGCGTGGACGACGCCGACACCACGGCAAGCCCACGGCCAAGCCCTGCGCCCCGCGCCCAAATAGACGCAGCTGGCACCGCGGCACACCCCACGGCGAACCTTGCGTTGGAAGCGGCGCTTGCCCTGGTGGCCGCGGCCGCGCGTCGGCAACACTGGCGCACCGACGTGCCCCTGGGGCCCTGGAGGCGTCCAACATGTCCTCGCTGGCTTCCAAGACGGCACATGCAGGCCACCAAGGCTGGCCAAAATGGCCTAAGGTGCCTCCAAGACGGCCCCAAGCTGGCCGCCCCCCCCAAGACGCAGGGCCGCGCTTCAGAGCTGACGGGCGCGGCGACGCATCCCCTATTCGACCACCGCAGGGGGCGCTGAGAGGGAGGGCTCTTGATGAGTGGGTGCCGTCGAAGGCTTCCTCTCGGATGGCCTCGCGTACAAGTGGGGCACAGGTGCTCTGATTAAGAGGAAAGCCTTTTCATGAGTGGATGCCGCGGTAGGCCTCCTCTCGGATAGCCTCGCGCTGCAGTGGAGCACCGGTGCTCTGAGTGGGCCCTCAAGGGGGGCTGCATGTTTCCAGCGAGTGTGCGGAGCCACCGACCCTGGCTCTTCACCCCCCCGAGCCACGGCACACTCGTGGCACTCGCGCGGGCCAGATACAACTCACCCTTATCATCAACTTGCGAGCCCGTGCTTCCTAAGGCTTAAGAGATAGAAGAGATAGAAGGGGGTGTGGCGACCGGCGCGCGCGTGGCGGCGACCGACAGGCCAGACGGCCACGACCCGACCGCAGCACAGCCACGGCACGACGGCAGGGCGGCCACGACACGACCGCGAGGCAGCCACGACGCAGACAGCGGCTTCAGGAACAGCCAGGAGGCTGGAAGCACATGGCTGGCTTCACGCGCGGCGCATGCAGAGGCGACTTGCTGGACTGGGTACGCGTGCGGAGGCCTGCCCTGCCCGGGCCACGGAGGGGCCGAGCGCCAGGAAGATACCTGCTGGCCACATGTGCATCCAGCCTTTCGCCCAGGCCGGTCGCAACAGGTCTACCCAGCTTCCTGGTAAGCAGCGTGGGCACTTTCTTATTCAGCGTTTCGACATTGGGCGGAAGGGGGGGGGAGAGGGGGGGGGTCTGGCTCCCGACCTCTGTTCAGTGCGACTGTTTGCGACAGTGCGTCCTATGAGGCGAGACTCCGCCTGCTCGAAACAGGCGCCCACAAACAGCCGAGATCCACTCCAGGGGGGGGGGGGGGAGGGGGGGGGCGCGAGGGCCCGCCCGCGCCGATCGGCAAATCAAGGAATTAAAAAAAAGGTCATGACCCAGGCACCCTCCGCGGTGATCCAAGCAGACGTCGAAGGCCTTGAAGGAATCAAGGTGGAGGTTGTGCTTGGCTTTGAGCCCCCAGGGCCCCCTCGCGAGGCCCCAGTGGCCGTCCACAAAAAGACCGGGAGACGAAAAGCCAGCCCGTCCATCGGCAGAATTGCGCCAAAAATAACTTCGGTCCTCGGTCGAAGCATCTTCCATTCGTCGTTCTCACCAGGTGGGATTTTCAACGTCCTGGTCAAAGCAATGTCCTTCCTGGTGTGATAAAAGCACTGACCTGGGTGGGACGTTTGTTTCATTTGCGCGGGCGTGCGTGTCGCCCGCGACTTTCAGCCACTCTTCTGAGACCTGGACCCAGAGGAGGTGACAGAGGATACACGTCGGAGAGGGGGGGGATCACAACACAAATGCCCTGATCTGTGTAGGATGGGGGGTCGCCGGGGTCGATCGAGCTCGCCTCGCTGCTCTTTGCACGGCCCCCCGCTCGACCCCGTCGTCCTCCTCGTCCTCCTTCCTCCTCCCTCGTCCTCCTCGTCCTCCTCCTTCCTAGTCCTTCTCGGCCTCCTTCCTCCTCCCTCGTCCTCCTCGTCCTCCTCCTTCCGCGTCCTCCTCGTCCTCCTTCCCTGGTCCCCTTCGTCCTCCTCATTCCTCGTCCCCCCGCCCGAC